TTCCGTGTTCTTCTCAAGGCACGTTTGGGAAGCTAGCAACTGGTAGTTCGAGCCTCGGCAAGGCCCGGCATACCGGTCGGCCGAGGCTCGGACTTGATAGCTGGGCCAAGTACTGGTGGTTTAATAAATAATAAATTTTCAGATTTGATTTTGTGACTTCTTCCCCCCCGCCTCGCCCCCCCGCCCTCAAGGCTCACACATCAATAACGTACTGTTATGCAAGTTTAATGAAATAAAATACTAAAAACTTAGTAAAAAGTTAAAAACAGTAAGTGCAATACAGACCTCAGTTCGAATCCAGACGGAATCAGACGAGTAGAGTAACTCTGAGTTTACGTGGGGCCGGTTGTTTTTGTTTTTTTTCCCCCCCCCAAAAGGCTAATTCTTTTAAGTTTTAAGTTTTATGCCCGACCAATTCAGTTACCTGTCGAATCTGGACAGGATGGCCGTTCATCGAACTGACCGGTCGGACACCAAAAGTATGTCTGGATTGGTCAATCCGAACTTTTGTGAAGATTGTATCTCAAGGTCGTCGCCCTACCGTCTTCACCCGAATAGAACGCCCGGTCGTTATTGCTGCATTTGGACTGAAAGTTGGGCCAAATGCAGCTATAATGACCGGGCGTTCTATTTGGGTGAAGACGGTAGTAATATAATAAGGCTGTCAAAAATTCTCAAAATGAGTCGTCAATTTCTGGCTAGGCTACCAGAGTGGCCCGGGTCCACTTGCCCGGCCGGGCCAAAAAGATTAAAAAATAAATAATAAAAATTTATTAAAATAAAAAATATTTTTTATTTTAATTTAAAATTTTGTTTTAAATTTGGGAAAGAATTTCGATGTGACCCTGAGGCAAAAGTTGTTCAGTTTATTTTTCTGCATAGCATAGTGTTTTTTCGGTTTTTTTTTTTTTTTTTTTTTTTTTTTTTTTTTGGCTGGGACCTTCCCTGGTCCTTGCACGGCCGGGCCGGCCGGGAAAATAGTGTGACCCGGGCGGCCCGGCTGGTAGCCTAGATTTCTGGCCGATTCCAATCCTGGGTTAAGCAGAGAGCCTTTGAAAAAAAAAAGATGTCTGGTGACCTGGTAATCTACCGTCTTCACCCGAATGCAAACGTATGCTATGCTATTATTGCTGTATTTGGGCCAACTTTGAGTCCAGATACAGCAATAATAATGACTGTACTTTGTATTTGGGTGAAGAGTCTGAAGACGGTAGGCGTCATGGATGAGAAGAAAGACATGCATGAGAGGGTAAAGCAGCAGCAGGCAGCTGCCGTCTTCCGCCGATCTCCAATCCACCCCGTCATCATGACTGTATCTGACCGGAAATATTATCTCCCCCCCCCGGGCCCCCCCACAACAGGTATTGCACTAGCTAAATTTGTAATTACCTCTCTGATCCTCTCGGAACAGAGCGCATCCTCATTGTGACTGCGACCTTTTTTTTTTTTTTTTTTTTTTTTTTTTTGATCAGGGTGCGTTGTGTTCGGGGAAAGACGGTAGTATTGCAGATCGAATGGCTAAAAGCAGGCGACAGGAGCCGGCTACCTTCTTCCCCCGAATACAACGTACGGTCATTATAGCGGTATCTAGACTGAAAAATGCCTCAAATACAGCTATAATGACCGTAGGTTGTATTTGGGGGAAGAAGGTACGGGAGAGGACAACAACACCATGCATGTACTATCTACTACATCTATCTACTCGATGGGCGTTGCCGCACGGCACACGAAACGAAAAACGAAATGAGTGCATCTTCCGCCAGAAAATGGCCAGGTTCATCGGTTTGCTATAAATAGTAACGAGTGTATTCTGCCACCTTTCTTGGGCAGATGCACTCGTCTCGTTTTCGTTCCGTGTACCGTGTGGCGAGGCCCTATACCTACTGTCTACTACATTTTCTTTTAAAGTTCCTATGGTCGCGATCAAGGCTGTGCCCGTCTGTGAGATGGGCCGTCCGATAAGCAGCGCGTTTTCTGGCATCTATCAATGGTGTGCAACCGCCTGCGAGATGGGTCGTCCGGAAAACGCGGCTGACAAAGCGGTGGCCATTGGAAACTACAGGCCGCGCACGACCATTCCAGCCGCCCCCCCCCCCCCCAAAAAAAAAAAAAAGAAGGGAAACACACCACGGACCAGACGTGAAAAAAAGAGAAACATTGCGGCTGGGCGCTTCGAGGCTTATGCGGCCAGAGTCGGGCCTCGCGCAATGTTACATTCCCAGTTGGGCAATGTATGTATAGCCAAGGATCGGCAATGTGATAAAAAGGACTGAATGGAAAATGCGGTGTTAGTGAAATCTCAAAAAGCAATGTACATCCTGATGCATACAAAATGGCACCTTGTAGCGCAGTGAAAGACTTAGATATAAGCCCTGACCTGACCGGGACTGACCTCTCTCACGTAGTACAAGACAGCGCGGCAGAATGCTAGACTACCAATGACTAGCCCAATCAATGTTGGAATGCAGACCAAAGATACATCATCCTCATCACAAGGTGTGAAGGGGCCTGGCGCTACACACAGGAAGAATGCGCAGACGAAGAGGAGGAGATCAGATGAAGAAGAGGGGGAAGATGGGAATGTCGTTGACCATACACAGACGAAGAGGAGGACCATACACAGACGAAGAGGAGGAGATCAGACGAAGAAGAGGGGGAAGATGGGAATGTCGTCAACACCAAGTCTTCAGTACGAGTCCCAGATAATCCCTCGTCAAATGTCTGAAGCCCAATGCCGAGTCTGGATCCAAATGTCACCGATCCCTCTCTCCCGTAGTCTGCTGATGCAGTGAAGTCAGGTAGCGAGAGGGTGAGGGGGAGATGGACTCGGAAGAGGAAGAAGAAGAACTCTCTCTCTCTCTCTCTCTCTCTCTCTCTCTCTCTCTCTCTCTCTCTCTCTC